TGCTCAGGGATCGTGACTTGGCATCCCTGGAATCCCTGGGATCCCTGAGACATCATATGGTTTGCTGACCACCGACGTCGCGATCCCTGAGCAGGCTCAGGGATCCCAGGGATTCTGAGCGCGGGATCGCTGGTGGATCCCCAGGTCGGTTTTGCTGGAGGATTAGGAATCCCTGGGATCCCTGGGATCCCTGAGCCTGCACAGGGATCGTGACTTCGCATCCCTGGAATCCCTGGGATCCCTGAGCCTGCTCAGGGATCGTGACTTGCCATCCTTGGAATCCCTGGGATCCCTGAGAAATCATATGGTTTGCTGACAACCGACGTCGCGATCCCTGAGCAGGCTCAGGGACCCCAGGGATTCTGAGCGCGGGATCGCTGGTGGATCCCCAGGTCGGTTTTGCTGGAGGGTTAGGAATCCCTGGGATCCCTGGGATCCCTGAGCCTGCACAGGGATCGTGACTTCGCATCCCTGGAATTCCTGGGGTCCCTGAGCCTGCTCAGGGATCGTGACTTCGCATCCCTGGAATCCCTGGGATCCCTGAGCCTGCACAGCGATCGTCACTTAGCATCCCTGTGCATCCCTGGAATGCCTGAGAAATCATATGGTTCGCTTATCGTTCTTGTTAGCGCTGCCGCTGATATCTTATACCTGTTCTCCCAAAGGCGGGGGAAGCGGACGCTTGCATCTTCTGAGGTTGAGGAGGAGGAAGAGGAAGAGGAGGAGGAGGAGGAGGAGGAGGAGGAGGAGGAGGAGGAGGAGGAGGATGGACGAGGTGAAAGAAGGGAAGGAGATGCAGGATCAAGTGGTTGGCTCTCCAGATGACGTTCATTATTCGATGCCGCCGTCTCAGGGCGAGAACCGAATCTGGCAGTAAAGAAAATGCGAGTGCGATGAAAATCAGTGGGTGCTGGGGGGGGGGCTGCGCATATATATATATATTTATATGTATTTGTTTATGTATGCATATATATATATATGTATGTTTATGTATGTGTATGTGTATATGTATATGTATGTGTATATATATATAGAGTCGTCGCTCCGCCGCCCAGATTTGCCGCGGCGACGCCGGCGAAAACCATGGTAACAACGCTACCATGCGACTTCATTGCCTGCGGACCTCGTCGATGGCGATCTTAGCTGTGTGCGTCTTCCCCGTGCCAGCCGCCCCCCGAATGAGTCGAAACGGTGGCCCTGTTCTCGCACCTCCCGCGGCCGCTGGCAGAGCCTGGCGCCTCCCCATTCGCTTCTCCGCCCATCCCGCGCGCACTGCCACCACAAGCTTCAGCGTCGGGTCCAACGCTTGTGCGACCGCGCTGAATTCCAAACGCGCCGACGCCATCTCGCAGCGGAGCCCGGCCGCGAGGTTCGCCCAGCCACGATGCCACTTCGCGCCGACGCTCACCCTCGAGCAGTTGAAAGTTGAGTGCGCCGTCCAGCGAGCAGGGCGCGTCGATTCCCATCCCGCGCGCCGGCGCTCGCAGAGTCTGGCGCGGACGGCCGCCACGCAGTACGAGCGTAATCGAAGCCTGTCGAGTTCTGTTGGTGGCCCGCGAGAGCCTCTTCTTCCTCCTCGGCGCCTGCATCCACAGCTTCTGTGCAATCGGTGTCTCGTGGCCGAGGTCCTGTCCGGGGAGGGGGCTCTCCGCTTGCCGTGGTGCCGCGCGAATGCTCTGCGGCATCTCCCCCCGCGCCTGCCGCGTGCTCTCTCGAAGACGGCCTCTGCGGGCGCGGGCTCTGGCGCTCGCCGCCGGAGGCGCCCCCCGGGCACTTCGCGACCGGCTGCCGGTGCCCCGTTTTGAGCCACCGCGCCGAGCGCTCTCTGCAAGGCCGCCTTTTTTTGGGCGGAGCGCTCCCCGCCGAGTGTCAAGCCCGGGCGACTGAGTGTGCGGAGGATGCTCTGCAGCTTCGGCTGAAGTCGGGCCCGTCCATCAGCAGGAGGAGTGTGCAAAAAGAAGCCGAAAATAGTCTGGGGACATTTTGGGTTTTTTTGTTGACCATGTGGGAGTATCTTGTGAGTGTTTTTTTTATTTTCCGTCGAAAGTCCCCTTGTAGGGGGACACGCCCGACGTCAAGCTTAGGTTTCGCGTGGTATCTGCAAGAGTGCAGGAGGAAGCCAGCGTCGGCTCTCCCGCCCTGCGCGTGCAGGGCGCCAGTGTCGTTTCCAGACTGGAGGAGTGTGCGGGGGTGGCGCCGCGAGCCCCTGCCACGATGAGCGCGTCTTGGAGCTCTCGATGCGTACACTTCGGCTCCTTGCAGATGAAGGCCGCCAGGCCTAACCCAACTCAAGCAGTGGGGAAGCGTCCTGGTTCGCCTGCAGGCCTACCAAATGATGTTCTAAGAACCTCCTTTGTCCACGAAATGTTATTAGAACATGCCTGGCTGGGACTGTCTTGTTTTAACACATCGGGTCTATGTTCTTAGAATATTGCTTCTGTTCTTAGAACATTTTTGGGTTCGAAGAACATTTCGTGGTAGGCCTCTAGGACAACCGGGGCGGTCGGTCCCTGTTCAACCAACGGCGCTGGCAGAGCTTGGCGCCGGGGCGCTGGCGGATCCCGGCGCCGGGGAAACTCCTCCTCCTCCTCCTCCTCCTCCTCCTCCTCCTCCTCCTCCTCCTCCCCCTCCTCCTCCTCCTCCGAGGAGAGGCGCCGTTGGCGAAGGGGCGCACGCCGCCCGCGGACAATATGGCAGCGCGACGGCCGCGGGCGGCGTGCGAAGTGCGTGCCGGGCCCAGGCAGCGGCAGTGGCGGGTGGTGGTGGTGGTGGCAGTGGTGGTGGTGGTGATGATGCTGCTGGCGGTGACGGTGGTGGTGGTGGTGGTGGTGGTGGTGGCAGTGGTGGTGGCAGTGGTGGTGGTGGTGGTTGTGGCAGTGGTGGTGGTGATGATGATGCTGGCGGTGACGGTGGTGATGCTGGCGGTGACGGTGGTGATGGTGGCAGTGGCGGTGGTGGTGGTGGTGGCAGTGGTAGTGGTGGTGATGATGATGCTGGCGGCGACCTTGCAGTGGTGGTGGTGGTGGTGGCGGTGGTGGTGGTGGTGGCAGTGGTGGTGGTGGTGATGATGATGCTGGCGGTGACGGTGGTGATGGTGGTGGCAGTGGTTCACCACCCATCAAACCACCCCAACCCAACCCGAAGGCTCAAACTTACTGTCGATTTCCAGTGGGGGGGGGGTCGGGGAACATCGAAAAAGCACGCGTGGAACCCTTACCCCCCCAACCTGAAATTCGGGTCTTCGGGTTGGGTTGGGGTGGTCTGGTAGGTAGTCAGTGGTGGTGGTGGTGGCAGTGGTGGTGGTGGTTGTGGCAGTGGTGGTGGTGGTGGTGGTGCTGGCGGTGACGGTGATGATGGCGGCGATCCACGGCGGCTCCGCACACCATCAGGCTCACCATCGGGGCACCATCGGGGCACCGTCGGAACACCATCGGGGCACCATCGGGACAGCATGGGGCACCGCGGGGCACCGTCGGGAAACCATCGGGGCACAATCAGAATTCTTACCGTGACACCATCGGGACACCAATCGGGACACCAATCGGGACACTATTGGGACACCATCGGGACACCATCGGGGCACCGCGGGGACACCATCGGGACACCAGTGAGCAACCACTTCGTCAGGACACCACCAGGACACCATCGGGACACCTCTGGGACACCAATCGGGACACACATCGGGACACCACCGGGACACCTTCGGGACACCACCAGGGCACCATCGGGACACCAATTGGGACACCAATTGGGACACCACTTGAACACTATTGAGAGACACCACTGGGACACCATCGGGACACCGCGGGAAACCATCGGGACACCGCGGAACACCAGGGGACACCACAGAACACCAACACCACAACACACCACAGCGGGACACCCTCCGCACGCGCGTGCCACGCGGACGGGGGGGTGGGGGGCCGACTTCTGTCCCATCGGAAGGTCCATTCTCTTCGCCTGCCCACGCAGCTACGCCGCGCCCGCACGCCCGACACGAACACGAAACTGACACCGATTTCCCGGTGGGGGGGGGGTTCTCCTTTCAAATTCGATCACCCCCCCAATTTCCGATCTTTCCTCCTCCTCCTCCTTGTCCTCCTCCTTCCCTGTCCTCCTCATCTCCTCCTCCTCTCCTCCTCCTCCTCCTCCTCCTCCTCCTCCTTGTTTTTCTCCCCCAACCTCCTCATCCCCTCTTCCTCCTCCTCCCCTCTTCTCTTCATTCTCCTTTTCCTCGCCCTCGTCGTCGTCGTCCTCCTCCCCTGCTGCTGTTTTTTTCACCTCCTCCTCCGCCTTCTCCTCCTCCTTCTCCCCCTCCTCCTCCCCCTCCTTCTTCTCCTCGTGTTTCTTCTCCTTCTCCTCCTCCTCCTCCTCCTCCTCCTCCTCCTCCTCCTCGTCACCCTCGAGGACCGAGTTCCCAGGTTTCTGTATGCGTCTGGCCTTGTTCGGGCCCCTGGAGGTCGTCGGAGGCCCACGGGGAGCGTCTGGGGACCTCCAGAGGCCTCCAGAGACCTCTTCCTCCTGCTTCTCGTCCCTCATGCTCCTCCGCCCCCCTCCCTCCTGCCTCCTCCTTCTCCTCCTCCTCCTCCTGCCTCCTGCCTCCTCTCTCCTCCCTCCCTCCTCCCTCCTCCCTCCTGCCTCCTGCCTCCTCCTGCCTCCTGCCTCCTCCCTCCTCCCTCCTGCCTCGTTCCTCCTCCCTCCTGCCTTCGCCCTCCTCCCTCCTGCCTCCTCCCTCCTCCCTCCTGCCTTCGCCTCCTCCCTCCTCCTCCCTCCTCCTCCTCCTCCTCCTCCTCCTCCTCCTCCTCCTCCTCCTCCTCCTCCTGCCTCCTGCCTCCTGCCTCCTGCCTCCTGCCTCTGCCCTCCTCCCTCCTCCTCCTCCTCCTGCCTCCTGCCTCCGCCCTCCTCCTCCTCCCTCCTGCCCCTCCTTTTCCTCCTCCTCCTCCTCCTCCTCCTCCTCCTCCTCCTCCTCCTCCCTCCCCTTCTCCCCGCGCCTGTTGCAGGCCATCCACATGGCTGCTGGGACAGGGAACGTCCCCGCGCTGGAGGTGCTTCTGGCGAACGGGGCGGACCCGAATGCGAAGGCGAGGATCGACAGCAAGACGCACTACTACCCCATCCACGACGCTGCCTTCAAGAATCAGGTGGACGCGCTGAGGTTCTTGATCAGGAGCAAGGCTGAGGTGCGCGAGACGGATGTGGGTCCTCCTCCCGGTCCGGTCTCTTTTCATTCATTCCCCTCCCCATCTTCATGAGGTGCGTGCGACGAACGTGGATGGGTGCACTCCCTTGCACATCGCAGCCCAGTTGGGCTACGTTGACGTGGTCGAGGTGCTCTTGGAGTACGCGACATTTTCTGAGGAAGAGCGTCGGCCGAATCTTCTGACGATGGAGAACGCGAGGCAGGAGACGGCAGGGCGCGCCTATTTGGTCAGGAGGAAGAGGGGAAGATGGGTGGAGGGAGGCCGAACATGAGAAGGAAAGTGGAGGCCCCCGTTGCCCTTGGGCCAGACACCCCACGAGCGCCTTTGCGCGCCGTTCTGCTGCGCCTGCGTCCCAGACATAGCTCGCCCCCCCCGGCACGCTTTAGGCGTCTTCTGGAGGACCCCGACCGCTTGTGAGCGGCCTCGACTGCACCGGTCTGCGCCTGCTGTGCGACCTGCGGAGGCAAAAAATAAGAATGGATACGGAGCAAAATCGAGGAAAAGCGAGGAAAAGGGTGCCAACCGGCGGTTGTTAACCCCGATCGTTGCGCCAGCCCTTGCAGGAGTAGGAGGAGGAGGAGGAGGAGGAGGAGGAGGAGGAGGAGGAGGAGGAGGAGGAGGAGGAGGAGGAGGAGGAGGAGGAGGAGCAGGAGGAGGAGGAGGAGGAGGAGGAGCGAGGAGTGGATGAAGCAGGGTGATGATGAGGGAGATGGGAGGGGATGGAATGGAGTTGTGGGGGGACATTCAGTCATACTGTCCTCGTGAGAAGCCTGGGCCCGTCTTGGTCGCTTGCGCCAGCTTCCAGCGCAAGTCTGCTTGTGTTGACGCCCTGAGGAGTTATCATAGCACTTCGCTGGTCTCCCGTGCTGGCAGGGGGCTGCCTTGTAGTCTTTGCACGATTCCGCATTTCATGCTTGCACTTAGGGCTCTCTGGCTTTTAACTCAGGAACTGGGGTTGTTTGGCGGTCCTGTAGCTACGTGGCCGCAGTCGCCGCCCCGTCGCCGCCTCGTTGCCGCCTCGTCGCCGCCCGTCGCGTGGGCCTGCCTGGCGGCCTTGCGGCTACGCAGCTGCCGCCGCCGTTCCGCCGCCGCCTCGTTGCCGCCCGTCGTGTGGACCACATCGATTGTTGTCTTGTCTCTTTGGGCACACAGCATTGGGATCCCCCACCCTAAACTGAGTTGGGTGTTGTATGTGAGTGGGAACGAGCGTGCATCCGCGGCCGCTTGGCTCAAAGCGGCCTGCCGCCCAGATCTGATTACACCTCAGCGCGAGGTGTACCATTTGCCATCGATACCAAAACTGCTTGAGCTGGCTCGCCCCCTACTACAGGGACTATCGCTACTACCGTACAACAGAGCGGGAGCTGGGCTGCGCCTCGAGCGAAGCTGCTGGTTGGGCCTCCCAACCCTCTGAAATTTGGTAGCGGAGCTGGCCCATTGTGGTCAGCTCTAGCTCTACCCCTCGCCATCCACGGCACTCTCTGGTGGACTACTGATTTGGTGGAACATCAGGGTGCAGTGGGTTTGCGCGGAGGAATGTATATAATTACTTATACGACCACCCTGCGGGTGATAAGGAGGTTGGGGGGGAGGGGCCCAGCAATGGGCAACAGTGGTGAATGTTGTTGTGACAGTGCCAGTGGCGATAGTTGCGTTGCCGCTCGCTCTTGGGGGCGTTGGTGTCGAGTTGTTTACGTCACTGCTATCACAATCGATATCACAATCGATCTCGCAATCGACGTCATCATCATCATCAACATCAAAATCATCAGCATCACCATCATCATCGCCATCACCAACATCATCATCATTATCACCATCATCATCACCATCATCATCATAATCATCATCATAATCATCATCAACATCATCATCGGGACACCGACGGGACACGGACGGGACACCGGCGGAACACCGGCGGGACACCACGCCGCCCCGGCCGCCCGGAAGGGAATCATTTCGTCCGGCCGCGCTTCAGCCACACGGGACACCAGCGGGACACCGGCAGGACACCGCGGGCCACCGGCCGCCCGGAAGGGAGACATTTGGTCCGGCCGCGCCTCAGCCACACGGGACACCAGCGGGACACCGGCGGGACACCGCAAGCCACCGGCCGCCCGGAAGGGAGACATTTGGTCCGGCCGCGCCTCAGCCACAGGAGACTTTCTCTCCCCCGCCCACGCAGCTTCGCCTCGCCCGCACGGCACGCACGAACACGAAACCGAAATCGATTTCCCGGTAGGGGGGCTCTCCGTTCCACTTCGATCTCACCCCCTTACCTCCGATTCTAACTAGCAAGGACACTTGAGTGACACTTCTGCCTACGCGGAAACCTCATACCTGCGTCCTACATCCCTGCGCCACTACACTCCTGAAGTCCACCCACCTACTCCACTTGGAAACTTCTTCGAATACATGCTGCATGGAAACATGCGATACGACATTGTGCCGCCTCCACCCCCACGCAGGCTTACGACCATGTATCGAGAACCCCAACCGACTACATCCGACTACGACCTGCGAGGCCATTGGATCGGTATTGCTCTCTTTGGGCTCGCATGGGTCGCCATGTGGTGTGCGGTAGGACATATGCGTGGCGGGGACGACGCAAGAACGACCGGCCCCCATCGGGACCCGTCCGGTCAAATACCTTTCCGCGAAATCGCCCGCGGAGTGCATGCCTGGATCAACGTTGCCACAGGCAACATGACGCCCTCCCAACAAGCTGCAGGTTTGCAACGGGGCTTGGGAGGCCTCGCGCGGACCATAGCCATGAGACTTCCCCCAGCAGTTATCGAATTCGGTGTTAACATAGGTGGCCGCCATACCGATGGCGTCACCTACATCATGTTCCTCTTAAGCACAAAGTTCGAACACCTAGAAGAGGAACGCCAACTCAACTCTGGTACAGCTATCCTTGACTTCCGAATCCATGCGGGAGAACGGATCGACCAGACTTTGGCACGCTTCGAGATAGCCCGCTATGAAGCTGAAGCGGTAGGTGTTAACATCCCCAACTTCTAAACTCTAACAATTGTTTTATTCAGAGCCCTTGTAGTGGGGGCCTCGCGTGAACAGCAACTCCTGCAGCCACGAAACCACCACATGCCAAGGGACCAACAACAGTTTGACTCTCGACTTGAACGCATGAGGTCATCTACTCACATTGCTGAGAGAACCCCTTGCAATCTTGGTGGTATTTTCAGCCACGGTCACCGAACCGAGACCTTCCACGTAGAGGCAAACGCAGGGCAACCTGCTAATAATGTTCGGAATGGCGATCCGCAGCCAGCTGAGACCATTACACTACTGGCTCAGAATGGTGGTCCAGCTTCTGGGTCGCAAGACTCCTGGGCCGGGCTTCGGGGCCCCCCCGAGCCAGGTTTTGGGGGCCGCCCGACGCAGTACCCCCTACGCAAGCCACAACCCGAATGGGCTCAGCGGGGCAACCTGCTGAGTCCAACCTCGACTCCGGTACTGACGCCGACGCGTCTTCGGACGACGAGGCCGCTGCCCTTGACTACTCCGATATGCCTACGTACTTCAAGGAAGCACAACAGGCGCAAATGTTATTCCTAGGGTACCAGAAACATAAACGCAGGTGGAGGCCATTTATGAAGAAACCAGTTCGTAAATAACGGCGTATCGTCCGACAGGCACTCAAGGGGAAAAAGGCAAGGGTCGAGGTAAGGGTAAAGGTAAGCGGCGGCGATCGCATGGCATAGGCACGTTAGCATTCCTAGCATCCCTTACCGGGCCACAATATGAAGATATATTCCCAGGTGCAGGCAGGAACCGTAGGCATACATCGGGAAAAGGTAAGGGACGTCGGGGAAGCCCGAAAGATGCCAACGGTCAAACTATGGAGTGCGACATATGCCATAGCACACAGCACTTTCGCCGCGAATGCCCTCAGGGCGATTGGAGAGGCAGAGGTCCGTCGATACATCTGGCTCGAACTGACTCGGATATACAGTATGTTGACTGGGAGTCACGTTTGGCCGACCCTGCCGATAGCTCAGTTGCAGTTGTTAACTTCATGGCTGCCAGATATTTGAGTGCCAGTATGTCCCTCGAGAATTGCGACGACGGGCTGTTCGAGGAGGTATTCATTGGCCACAATAATATTGATCTGGCAGACTGGCTGGGCGAACCCATCGCGGGGTAACCTGCTGATGTTGAATGTGTCGAGAACTCCCATATGCCCGCCGGAGGAGATGACGAAATGGCGGGGGAACACGCGGGTTCAGAATCCACTATTCTTGCAGCAGAGGAGGAAATACAGTTGATGCTTTATCCTCGGGTTATTGGCAATCGGGCAGACGTGGGAACCCGCGAGATGTTAGCGATCTGTCTGAACGCATTCAGCATGAGCTCGGCCGCGACGAAGGAGTTCGACATGCACTCGCAGCTTCGGGCCGCTCCATGAGCCGCCAGGAGAGATCGGCATGCCGCCAGTCCTGGAGACGCAAGTATCGCGCCGACGATGATGACGAAGAGTAGGATGACGCTCGCCTGGTACGTCGCGGTCGGGTCCGCAGCGGCTCACCCGACCGCGCGCGCGCGCTCCAATGGCGCTCGCTCTAGCGGCCTCCGCCGCCCTCATCCCCCTGATGCGGTGATGGCAAAGACCCCTCCGTGGAAGGTCAATAGACCTGGCGCCCCCCCGGGGGGGGGGGGGGGGGGCGTCCGCGGGGGCGCCCGCCTCCGGGGGAATAACCTCGCGAAGAATATCCAGAAGACGAACTGCAGCGCCTTGTCGGCCACTCGGGCGCTGGATTGGCTCGTCAGCGCATAGGCCCAGATGCAGCGCAACCATGGTTGGACAAGAGATGGACTGAGCACCGGATGCGTCACTGGCATTATCTTCGCAAGGTTGATCGAGATGAAGAAGGTAATTATCTTCGGCAAGGTCGTTCGCTCAAAAGGACAGGGGCGTTCAAAACACAAGGCGCCCTCATAGAGCGCGACCTCAAAAGGGCCATCATCGAGGAGCGGAAACTTTACAGAGGCGTTGTTTGCACATGCTTCGATTATGCCGACCGCTGGCTCGGCCGCCCCATGAGGCGCACGTCGGGGGGCCCCAACTTCCGCAAGACACCGCGGGTCTGGTCTCGCGGCAACGGTCGGGGTTACTGCGCCGATCCAAATACAACGCCATGCTGCGAGCAGTTGACGGAAGACGACTACGAGCAAGCTACA